TATGAACACCGACCCTGGTTTTTGCATCGCAACAGCTGTTGGAACGGTTGGCATTCCAAGCATTCCTGAACCTCATAGCTTGCTAGAAGAATGATCGCTACTAAACGATAATCCATTTTGTGGAGTCCTCGGTGTCCTCTGAGCTTGGTTGCTTCCTTGCAGACGTTTCGTTACCCAGCTAGGTAACATCTTCAACACTGAAGATGTTACCTAGTTGGGTAACGAAACGTCTGCAAGAAAACAACCAAGCTCAGGGAACACCAAGGACTCCACAGTTCAACCCTGAGCTACAGATGTGCTCTTTTACTGATAATCCATGTTATCAAATCCCAGAGGGAGATCTCCAGGAGTAATCAGTAGCTGGCTTCCGACCCCATTTGCTTAGCTATGGCTGGTTCAATTGACCCAACCCGTGAAACCGAAAGTCCAACTTTACAAACCACAACCACGAGGTCTACTCAACATTTCAAGCCACAATGCAGCTTCTCGTCTGTTGCAATCCAGGGGTTGGCTTTTAAGATCCTGCTAGGCTTCTGATGCAACAGGGCTTCTCTGAAAATAAGAGGTGCAATTCATCAGCCTGCTCAAAGGGGAATAATTTGCAGGCACAAGTAGATTTTCCTTAATATAATCATCTCACCTGAGTTTTCAATGCATGTCTCTTGGCTGAAGTGCGCACACATGCTGCTGTTGGAAAAGGAGGCAGTTTTTGGATTAGGTTGATCTCTGGATAGCATCTTCCATAATTCCAATATCTTTTCCAGCTGGAAAATGCATTCATTTCATATACCTTGCTTTACAGCTGGTTCCAGACGCGCCGTTAAAATCAAATGAAAACCCAACAGAAGAAAAGGCTGGGTCATAAAGAGCAAACTCACCATTTGAAAAATGTCCATTAGCCAACCTTGGTCTCCTACTAAGGAACAATCATAAGCAAAAGAAAATACAATATAAATAAAGCCACAAGGTGGAAATACCGCCATCGGCAAATTAAAAAAAAAAAAAACTTTCAACACATCAAGTATGAAAATAAATCCAGCCTAGGACACAGTGAAAAGCAGAGCATTAGAAAGAAGAAATGTAACCATGGATTCAGATGTTGTTTTTCCTTGTTTTTGCTGTGTAGAAGTGATCATATTTTCATATGTGATGTTTAGGGATGAGGAGCACAGAAAGAGACAGGAACCAGGGAACTGTGGATGGAGAAAACCCAACCCTTTTCTTAAAAGCTTGAACGATTTTCCAAGCCAGCAAGGGGGCTTTTGGGTCTCACCAAAACCGATTCCTCTAGCTATTCTGTTTTTGTTTTTTTTTAAAGATAGAAAAAGGAGCTTTATCAATTTTTTCTTTCCAAGGAAAGTCCCCGAATCTACAATTTTGGAACCATCTTAAAAATGGACTTGTGGGAGGAAATCCCTCGGTGTTCAGGGAAGTTTACTTCTAGGGAAATATGTGCCTCCAACGGTTGGGGGAACCAATGAACCTTCAGCTGAAACAACAGAAGGGGTAAGAGGACTTTGGGGTGGGTGGGTTGTATTGCCTGCCATCATCTTGCCCCCCCACCATAGACTGCAATTTGCTGGCTTTTTCTGCAGGGAAACAAATGGGGCAATTAAAAAAAAATCTATACAGGGAGTCCCCGGGTTAAGAATGCCCGGGTTACGGACGACCCATAGTTAAGACGGAGCCTATTGTAGCAAAATTCGAGTTAAATACACAATGATTTGAGTTAAATACACCATGGTTTGAGTTCATTACACAATACTACTTCTTCAGTATGATACAATCATACTGTTCCAGCTTACATACAGATTCGACTTAAGGACAAACTTTGGGAACGGAGCTCGTCCTTAAAGCGAGGACTACCTGTCTATTTAAATTTGCAGATATGCTAGCACCTGTACGGATGAACTCCTTCCCCACTTCTAGCAGTCAACAGCCTAAACCTATTCATTCTACAATTAACGTTGCCGAAAGAGTTGCGGTTCTCTGCTTTTTGAACCATTTGCTCGAGCTGACCCTGAAAAACCATCAGAATTGGCATGTCAACAAACACTCCAAGGTGGAATCCATTCAGCAAAGCGAACCCAAATCTCCAGGCTTTGTTCACCTCCTTTGCACTTTTTCTTTGGACCCGTGTGATTTTTATATTTATTTATTTATTTATATATATATAAGAATTTTTCAATAGAGTAAACTTATATAAAACAGAAAGTAAAATAAGGAGAAAGAGAAAGGAAATAATAAAGAGAAAGCATACAATTATGCCTTTCACCCTTCTTTCTGTCAAGTAATTATCATTTTAAACCTTCCCCCAATCTCTTCGTCCCTTCTTAATCCCCGAATCCCAAAATCATCAATTCAATCTTTTCTTCTTTCAACCGAAAGTCCATATGAGGCTTCCAGTCTTTCCAAAAAAAAAAAAAATTTTCTTGTTTTTTCTTTAACCAAACGGCTCAGCTTCGCCATTCCCGCAAGTTCGGTTAATTTTAAAATTCAATCTTCTGCCGTACGTAGGCATCTCGTGGCATTTCCGACTTTTTGCATACAATACTCTTGCCACCGTTACCATATGCAATATTAATTTTCCATGTTTCCTTCCTAACTCCTTGTCCATAAAACCCAGTGGGAATAATTCTGGTTTCATCATGCTAGTCTGCAATATCTTTGGCATCGTTGGAGGTGTGATTTTTTTCAAATAGTTGGCAAAGCCCCCTTTTCCCCTCCCTCTGATGGTTCTGTTTTAATGACACACTGCTGCTTCCCTTCCTAATCACAAAGAAAATTAAGAATATGAGAATACAGAATATCACAAGCTTCGCAGAGATGCTGACTAATGTCTCTCAAGCCGATGTCTTCGTGCTCGGATTCTGTACCGAAGTTTCGGCAGAACGCAATTCCTCTCTCCCAAATGGACAACGGCCCCGAAATAAGGAAAACCAAAGAGCTGTTAATATTCTCTTGAATTGGAGCGTTTGCAGGATCAGAGCAGCTCCTAGATGCCAGAATAATACAACTGTTTGTGCTCAATGGCCCTCGAATTATTTGCATGTAGGTTTTGGTTTGGATTCGGGGAAGACGCGCCCCAAATGCACCATTACTTCTCGTTCTTTTAGCGTCAGAGCCAAGTTGTCCACAGGGTTACAACGTGATGGCCTTAAAAAGGACAGCAGCGAAGCAATAAAACAGAAGATCAGTCCATCAGTGTCTCTTCTTAGAAAGAGTGAATTTTTTGCTTCGATCTTGGAGGGCCCAGGATTCTTTGGAAGAGTGATTAGTGGGGCTTAAGACACCAAAGGTTAAGAACTACGGAAATAGTCAACATGGAGAGGATTTTTAATAGATGCCACTGCAGACATAAAAGGCCAGCTGCCACAGCTGTCTTCCGTGATAAACTAAAAAAAAGAAAGAATCCCAACCAGAGAAGAGCTGCCTTAAATATAGCATGGGAAGAACAAAGCTGGAAAAATCAGACGTGCCATTAAAAGGGCTTCAGATCAGATCTTGATTGTCATGCGAACCTGCGAGTTCCCCTTTCTACAGGTTGCTATTTTTAGGAAGAGAAACCAGCATCCGTTCCGTGCCGCACAAGGAAACTCGTGAGTGTCTGTACCCATGTCTTTTTAAAAAAAGGCTTCTAGACCTCAAGGTTTTGGAAAATGGGGAAATCTGTCGGGGGGTGACAGTGAACGCTCTGGGTGCTGAATTTGCCGTGCCTTCGTTCCCGGATAACATACCAACCTTCCCCAACTGAAGTCTGAGCTGTTGTAAAATTGCTCAAACTAATGGTTAGGATTTCCAACTGTTTTTCTTTTTAGAATTTTTTTTATCCCACCTTTATTGCTTTTATAAATAACTCAAGGTGGTGAACATATCTAATACTCCTTCCTCCTCCTATTTTCCCCACAACAACAACCCTGTGAGGTGGGTTGGGCTGAGAGAGAGGGACTGGCCCAAAGGTGGGATTAGAACCCACCATCTTCTGCTTTCTAGCCTGGTGCCTTCACCACTAGACCAAACTGGCTGTCTCTTTTTTACCAACTTCTTCTTTCACCCCCACCTTGGACTGTTATTTGGACCTATGCCGTGGCAGGAGATTGTCATGCCCAGGCGACCTTGGCTGATATTAGAAAGGCTAAGATGGTTTGGATGTGGAAGGGAGACCACTAGGAAATCTCGGGATTGGAGCCAGACTGGGAAGTTGACAAAACATCCTGCAAGAACGAAGTGACAAATGCTTTGGGGTGATGCCAAAGAAACTATCCAGATGTATCTGTGAAGTCGCTGGGAATTCAACTTTACGGAAGGCTTTATTTTACTTTACAACCCTGAGTGGCTGTTATAGGAAACAAGATCACCAAAGAGAACTGCGATCGGTAAAGGATCCTGCTCCCACCTCCCTCCCTGGCCCAAGCAACCCAATGGATCCCTATTAAAAAAACTAAACTAAACTAAAACACCTCTCTAGACTTTGAGATTTGCAAACTTGTAATCCCAAGACCAAGAGCCTCGATGCAGACAAAATAGTTTTATTTAGAGAGGCCGAGTAGCGTTTCTGCTAACAAAAAATAGGCAATTTCCCAAGGCTTTTTTATTTGTTTGGTATAAAAAGTTGGAGGAAGTGACATTAAAAAAAAAAAAAAGGAGGGAGGGGGAAAAAATAAAAAATCAAGCTTCAAAAACATGAGGAGTTGAGAATAAAAGTTGGTTGGCTAAGACTGAACCCACTCAGTTTGGACGTATCTCCCGCTGCGCAACGGTCACTGATGGCTCTCTAACAAAAGGAGCGATAAACCATCTAAGTTTATAGAAAAGCACCCCGGGAAGGTGAACGAACAGAAGTTTTCTAAGGCAGGATCAACTCCAGGGAAAAATTGCCAGCTAGATCCTCTCCTTTTTCATTAATGCTCTTACAAGAAGATAGGAGAGAATCAACAAAGCCTGCCTCTCCTCCTGCTGATTAAAAATTCAGCAAGGATTAGCATGTTTAATACGTTTCTCCCCCAGAAGAAGCTTTTGCGTACAGAAAACTGCCGCTGGAAAATACATACGGTGGGATGCCGACTTACGCGTTCGACGATCCGAAGCCAAACCCTACGGGAGGAAACAGAGGGAGAAAAGGAAAGGATGACTGAGTAAGTTGCAAATAGAGAATACGTGACAAAAAGAGAGGAGAATGGGTTTCGAAGTGGGTTCAAAACGTCTCCCTTTCTACAGAGGAAGCCGGATTTAATCTCCTGCCTTCCCGATGCTTCAAAGCTGCAGGTTTGAACCCCGGGGGTTAGCCCAAGGCTCAACGCCGCTCAACCTGGTTCACGCGTGCTTTGCCATCAGTGTGTTGAAGACAGCGAGAACCAGCCAGGTTTCGAAAGTGTGTGAAGCCGGGCACAACAGTGTGGAAGCCACAAAGCCTGGGTGGAGCTGGGGGTCCCCTCTTATGAAGTTTAAACCAAGCCAATCAGGGGATAACGAAGCCTAATCTTAGTCATAATGAAGAAATGTAGGAAGCTGACTTTAATGACCACCACCACCACCACGGTTCATTTAGCCTAAGAGAGTCTATTCCGGCATGCAGAAGTTTAGAGGGAAGCACTCTCTTTTGCCGTGTTTTTCATCCTTGGCAACTTTAAAGTGGGTGGACTTCAACTCCCAGAATCCCCTGGCCAGGGAATTCTGGGAGTTGAAGTCCACCCATCTTAAAGGTCTATGCCCTTGTGCCTCCACACCTTTACACCTTTTCTATTTTCCTCTTAGCTTCCTCCCAGTTTTCTGCTTTTCTATAGACGCTCTTATCTTCCTTTTGTTTTTCCAAAATGGCTATGGAACCGCAGGGTCGAAACATGTTTGGGAGGATCCCAATCCAGCGATGGTTTGCTGTCCCCCCAAACTGGCGTTTGAGATCCTTAAAAATAAGAAACGTTTGAAGCCAGGAATGAGAATCAGGGGTGGGAAAACTGCCTATGGATGGTTTGAGTTGGTCTTTGCCAACCTTTCTGGACCATGTTGATGCAGCCTATGTAGGGGTGGACCACAGTCTCTCTCTCTCTCTCTCTCTCTCTCTCTCTCTCTCTCTCTCTCTCTCTCTCTCTCTCTCTCTCTCTCTCTCTCTCTCTCTCTCTCTCTCTCTCTCTCTCTCTCTCTCTCTCTCTCTCTCTCTCTCTCTCTCTCTCTCTCTCTCTCTCTCTCTCTCTCTCTCTCTCTCTCTCTCTCTCTCTCTCTCTCTCTCTCTCTCTCTCTCTCTCTCTCTCTCTCTCTCTCTCTCTCTCTCTCTCTCTCTCTCTCTCTCTCTCTCTCTCTCTCTCTCTCTCTCTCTCTCTCTCTCTCTCTCTCTCTCTCTCTCTCTCTCTCTCTCTCTCTCTCTCTCTCTCTCTCTCTCTCTCTCTCTCTCTCTCTCTCTCTCTCTCTCTCTCTCTCTCTCTCTCTCTCTCTCTCTCTCTCTCTCTCTCTCTCTCTCTCTCTCTCTCTCTCTCTCTCTCTCTCTCTCTCTCTCTCTCTCTCTCTCTCTCTCTCTCTCTCTCTCTCTCTCTCTCTCTCTCTCTCTCTCTCTCTCTCTCTCTCTCTCTCTCTCTCTCTCTCTCTCTCTCTCTCTCTCTCTCTCTCTCTCTCTCTCTCTCTCCCCCTCCCTCTCCTTCCTTCCTTCCTTCCTTCCATCCATTTTAAAGTGGAAGCAATTTGTGGTGTTCCAGAGAGGTAAGTTTACACACCTCTTCTGCCCAAGAAATGGGACACACCGAGAGATTTGGGGATATCAAGATTTCTAATTGTTGGGGAAACTTAGACTGCAGAGAAGAAAATGACTAACAAAAGATTTTTTACTCCCCTTCCTGCTCCCTACTGCACCACTAACATTCAGCAGCAAAATGGCTGCGGGGGTGGGGGGGCTGAATTCTCTGGCAGTGTCCTGCCAGAGGCCTCCTGCTCTCCTTCCGTCCACCCCTAAAAGTGAAAAAACAGCCCCCCACATTTGACCTGGCTCTGTGATGCCATCGGAACTTCCCAGGGGCTCCTGGGAATGTCAGAAAGCTGAAGGAGAGCCCTTAATTTTTGAAATTGCCTGTTCCTACTGTCAGAAAACAAGGAGGCATTGGTTGAACATAGCCAGTTTCATCCCCTCCCAATGCTGTCTCTGCTCCTTCCATTTGCCATGAATTCAATCTGGACAGGCCAACCAGCTCCCCCAGAGCAGAGGCCTGAACCTGGACCATGTTGATTGCTCGGCAACAGGGCTGCCTTGCCCCCCTCCCTCCTCGACCCCATCGCCTACCTCCTCCGCTGGACCCGAAGCCAGAGAAGCCGCTGCCCTGTGTGCCAAAACCCGTAGACTGCTGAGAGAGGGAGCCGAAGGTGGGGGTGTTCTGACTCGCCAGCGTGCCGAACGAGACGGTGCTGGCCGTGCTGCCGAAGCTGCAGGCCGGAGAGGGAGAGAGAAGAAGGGGGTTAAGAGGGCCTAGGAGGGTGCCAAGAGGGCTCTGCTGGACTGGTGCACAACCCCTTCTTCTTATGTCCTCTTGGCAGCCCACCATGGTAGACTGGACTAAGAAGCCAATGCCATACAGATCAGTCTATTTTTATTGTAACGGCTGTAGTGACAGAATCCTGTAATTCTGAATGCGCTTCCCCCTCCCTCACTTTATCTTTGTGTGGACTAGGGACGTTTTCTCCAGTTACTTCCTTGGTCTGGGCTCAAGCCCGTCTTATCTACGCATTCTGTTGGTAGCAGCTCTTTCTCCTGTCCTTCAAGGCCACTCCCTATTCCCTCCACACTTCTCCACTTCCTAATGCAGTGTTTCTCAACCTGGGCAGCTTGAAGATGGGTGGACTTCAACTCCCAGAATTCCCCAGCCCCCCACAGCGGGTGGGGGGATTTTGGGGGTGGAAGGCCCCCCTCCCTAAAACACCCCCGCTGTGGAAAAAAGCCACTAAGGAGGGGGGGG